GATGTGCCCGCAACCCAGGTACATGCCCTTGACCGGAATCGAACCTGGGACCTTTCAGTCCGCAGGCCGACGCTCTATCCACTGAGCCAAACCGGTTTCGGCTCAATTTTTTTTTAAATGAAGAAAATAGACATTTTCCCCCTTGGCCAGTGTAGCTCAGTTGGTTGGGCATCATCCGGTGCACTGGGGGGATTGCACATGCCTAGGTTGAGAGCTTGATCTCAGGTAGGGGACATGCAAGAGACAGCCAATTGATGTAAAGCTCTCATATCAATTTTTCTCTCCCTCTCTCTTTCTAAAAACCAGTAAAAATGTTTTAGCTTGGCTGGTGTGATCAGTGGTTGAGCATCTACCCAAGTACCAGGAGGACATGGTTCAATTCCTGTTCAGGGCACATGCTTGGGTTGCGGGCTCAATCCCCATTATATGCAGGGGGCAACCGATCGATGATTCTCTCTCATTATTGACGTTTCCTATCTCTCTCCTTCTCTGAAATATATCAAATTAAGTGTTATTAGCATTTTAGAACACTGACACTTTCTAAGAATCCAGCTAAGCATCCACTTTATTTTGTCATGAGTTATGTGTCAAAAGTGAGTTTGTGAAGCACAGAAAATCACATGACTAGAAAACAAGGTGGGTAGTAGTATGTTTGATCAACTTAACACAAAAGCTACTTTGATACTGTGGATCTCAGATCCAAGGGCAGCCCATAGTTCAGCCTCTTCCTATTCTGCTTTATGATATAATGATTTAGGAGATTTTTATAAATAGAACTTTCTCCCATAGTAGCTTGGTCATAAATGTCTTTGCTGTGAGTTATAAAAGAGCAACTTTCCAGGGAATCAAGGCTTGTGTGGATAATAGTCTAAACTAACCATGTTTTTGTCATGTTCTGCAGGAAAAACGGAAATATAAAACATACACATATTCAATCGTTCAGGACCGGCAAGCATCACAGATCTGGAAGCAGTTTAATAAATCTGCCCTTAAAAGTCTGGGTGTTAACTAGTACCTTATGCCTAAAAATCATTACAAGTAATTGGGTAGGGGTGCACAAAAATTACTTCATATGAGTTGAACTAATTGAAAATAAATAAGTGTGTACACCTCACTATGTTCTCAGTTACCTGGGAAAGAGGTTTTCTATTTTCAGTAACACTGAGGCAAAGACTCAGAATCCAGAAGGTAAGTGGTGCTATAAACAGTAATTAAAAGGACAAAAATGGAAGAAAGTAAGTTTCATTCTCCAGTTATTTCAATTTCCCTAAAATCCTGACATGTCTGAACCTCTTTCTTTCAGGATGTAACAATTTAGCACACAACAAATATCTCAAAAAGGGCACAAACGGACCACAAAGCATTGGTGAAAAAGCTTCACGTATTTCCCAATTTTTTCCCATTAGGGTATAAAAGGAATTTTGAAAACCCTTCATTCCACATCAAAGTTACTTTTCTCCTTAATGTTAACACTCACCCCAATGAAATATAATGTGAGTAGTGTGTGTTGTTATGCACAATGATTACAATTCAAATAAAAATATATGTGGTACATTCTAGAGGTTTTGTAGAAACCGCTGTGAAACGAAATATTTGAAATAAAGTACAAAAATAAAAAAACCAGGTTTTTTCCTCCAAATTCCTGGTTTAATAAGGACGTGTTTATTTTGAGAAAAAAAGGTCCCAAACATCAGGCTGTTCACAAAAATAACCCACAGTATCAACTTTAGAAAACAAATCTTAAAACTATTACACTAATTATTTACCTAGAGGATGCATTTGACATGCCAACTCTCATTCACAAAAATACATTGTTACATTTGTGTTGAACAGCCCCACATAGCACTCTTATACGGGGTATAAAACACATACCTCTAACTCAAAGCTGCTCTCAGGTGCTACTCAACTAATGCGATTGCCTTTGCAGTTAGGGAAGCAACTACTGAACTCATATATGAATGAAAAGAACTGTGCGCCCTGCATAACAAGAGATTATTTTGGAGACAGTTGATAAAAACCATACATCCTTTTTATTGTTAAGTCATAAAGAGATATCAAAATTAAAAGCGAAAATTACAGGGTTAAGACTTAACTACTAGGAGCATCAAAGGAAGTGAAAATGGGACTAGGCGCAGGGCAATATGAATTAATGAACATGGGAGGGACGAGATGGGGAGAACAGTGAGCATGTGCTGAAGGTACTAGGGAGAGGATCTGGTGAAAATTTTGATCTCAGACAAGCGCCTAGATAAAGAAATAATGGGACAACATTTCTAAACCCCACTATGTGCTTAAGAGTCATCCTCGCCATTGGCGCTGTCTCTGTCATCCTCTCCTTCCTCAGCCTCTTTTTCATCATCCTTGATCAACTCCAGCTGTGAGAAACAGACACAAATAGGATGGAGTTAGAGGCACTCCATGTGTCCCTGATCCCCCCTCCACCACCTTTTTCTTTCCTTTCCCATGGTTTTCACCTGGTCATCCCCCCGATCTTCATTATCATCATCATCCAGTAGGTCCCCCTCCTCAGCAGAATCCTCCGCAACCCCCTAGGACTCCATCTTCACATTAGTCTCATCTTTCTTCAGGGAGCTGGTGGTCTGCTCCTCTTCTGTCTTATCATTCTTCATCTCTACTGGGGATGAGAAGGACAAGTCTGTCCAGGGATATTAATGTCCATAGGGTGTAAACAATTCCCACTCATCAATACAGAACTGCAGCCTAATTCCCCCCACATAAATGCCCTCCCCATTTCAAACTCCCCAAGTTTCACATTCAATTGCTGTACACCCACTATTCCAACATATATTTTCAATTACCTTAGGTAACTAACCCAAATCTACATCCCCCAAAAAGCAGCAGTACCATTTACCTGCTTGTTTGCTCTGTTCCTTTTCAATTTTTTCCAGGCTTTCCAGTAGATAATCCACTTTTTGTTTTATCTGGGTCAATTCCTTCTTAATGGCCTGAAGGTCATCTCCTTTCACTTTTAAAATAAATAAAACCTTAGATGAGAATCAAAATACCAGAAGCTACAAGTTATCAAAAACATTTCTACTACACTATTCACTAGTAGCCAACAGGAAATCCCTAGGGAGAAATGGCATTAGTATCAGATTGTCTCAGTAATGGGGACCTTCAATCTTGTAGCTGGTAAAGGAAAACTCCTTTATGCGCTTACTCCATTACCAGTAGCATTCTGACTTTTGTGGACCTGCTAAGACTTCAATTCCTTTTTAAAGCACTTTCTCTGTACAGTTTTATTGACATATATCACACAAATTTAACAGGTGCCTCAATTCCCTAAAGTATTCAAATTACCAAGGTCTTAAGGATAGAAGGCAATCTAGAACTGGTCCCTTAATCATTATATTCTCCTCTTTTATTACTTTTATTATGCAAAGGCTTTGTACAAAAACTGAAATTATTAGCAGCATTAATTTCACTATTTCAACACAGAATAAATACCACGAAGCTGCAATAATACATACACTTTGCAGACTTGGAAGAAGATCCTCGTTGTCCACTCTTAGAATTGAAGCCACTTTTGCCCCTTCGAGATGTGTTTCCTGATACACGTTGGCGTTTTGAGGGCACTACAGCCCGAGCAATAGGAGGAGGAGGAGGAACACGTGCTGGGTAACTGTACATCCTATTGGATAAGAAGAAGACAGAATTCCTTCACAACTAAATTAAGTCAGCAAGATCAAACAAGTGCAACTTATAAAACAATAAATTATCCCAGCCATTGTAGCTCAGTGTTTGAGCGTTAACCTATGAATCAGAGGTCACAGTTTGATTCCTGGTTTAGGGCACATGCCCAGGTTGTGGGTTCAGTCCCTTTGATCAGGAGGAAGCTGATCAATGATATATATTTAAAATCGTCCTAGTAACTATTTAACATAATCAGGTCCACACAAGAAAGATACAACCGACAGGGAATCTGAGCAAATGCAAACTTTCTTCTTATCTAAAATGTCACCTTAGGTGACACATAAAGAGGCATCTCTTAGCTTTCCCAAGTAGCCAAGAATCCTCTTGCTCTCTTAGTCACATGCCTTTCCAAGCAGGTGTAGCATTGCTCAGGAATATTTTAAGAAATGAAAGAAACAGGAGGGAGGCAAGATGATACCTTTTGCCCTAGCTGGTTTGGCTCAGTGGATAGAGTGCCAGCCTGTGGACTGAAGGGTCCCAGGTTTGATTATGGTCAAGGGCATATACCTTGGTTGCGGGCCCGATTCCCAGTAAAGGGCGAGCAGGAGGCATCCGATCAATGATTTTCTCTTATCATTGATGTTTCTCTCTCTCTCTCTGTTCTTTCCTCTCTGAAATCAACAACAATAATAATAATAATGATAATAATAATAATAATAAAGATGATAGCTCTTTTAACCCCAATAAAATTGAGTTAATCCAAAATCTAAAACTTTGTGAGCCTAAAACAAAATAAGGGCTCAAGTATTAGCTTAAGGAATATATGGATAGCTTCTTTCACCCATCTTGCAATTCAATGAAATCTCTCCCACCACTGTACAAACTTCTTCTTTACCTCTGATCAATAGGTCTTGCTTGAAAAGACCTGTAGAGTAAGAGATCAACAAAACTGCCTGACCTCCCTTCATGTAACCTTTAATCATGTATTCCTAGTCATAAAAGAGGGAATCTCAACTATACTCGATTCTTCTCTTCCACAAAGCATCTACTTGTATAACTTTAACCCAATAAATCTCACCAAGACCTCCAATTTCAACAATTACAATGGTAACTACCTGCACCTTTCCCTGACTCCAGTTCCTCTTTTCTAGCCATGGGGCTGTTGCTAAGATATCTGCATAGAGGACAATAACAAATATTTTAACCTTACAAATAAAAGTATATTCAGAACTTCTGAGTGAAAGCTAACACCATTTTTCTGAGTAGTTTTTCCCATTCTTCACTAAGCCTGTTCATTTTCCCATCACAGAACTTAGTACTATACTTGACCAGCTCTTTAGTAGCTATTACTTACTTAGAATGGAAAGGGGAAGACATTACTTTTAACTGTCACATCATATCATCAGGCAATACATTAGTAAAGAGTAACTAAAGGTATTATTCTGCCTCTTTAAAAACGAAGAAGCCAAGAGTGTGTTGCCATCAATTTTTCGGACTAAATAGATATTTCTGCAAACATTTAAATTTCTTCACCATTCCTTGCTGTCTGTATCTCTTTTTATTAAGTTTTGTGAAATTCCTCACTTAAAACAATTTTTCCAAACATGCCAGATTGTCCCCCCAAAAAATGTACACACACTTTAACAGCTGATACGTTGATTGATGCTTCTTTCTCTAGCGATTTAACCCACTGGAATAATTCAAAGTGTATATACGTTTTGGGGGGGCATCCTGTATTTACAGGGTGAGATGATAGGGACGTTCAAAGTTTTGCTGCCTTACCAAGACAACTAAAGTAGAACTTCAGAAGACTATTCTCATAAAGGTAGGGTTACACTGTCTGAATTTTATACATACAATTTAGAAAAGTTTCTTACCTAGTAAGAGTTCATAATACCCCAGAAATTATATCCATAAAATGTGTATTAAAATTTTTTCTAAAAGGTGTCATGACAGAGAATAAGGATAAAAGTCACAGAAATAAAATTACTTCCTTGTTCTAGATTATCAATGATTCTCAACCCTCCCTGGACATTAGAATTCTGGGAGCTTTAAAACACACCAATAAAGAGTCTACCTAAACCAGCTGTATAAAAATCACTACAGATGTAGTTGGGCATTGAGTATTTTTTTAAATGTGGCCAAGAGATTCCTACGTGTGGGATGGTAGTGCATAAAAATAACTGCTTCAGACAAATTCTGTTATTCACAAAATTTCAGGACCTTCAAGTAACTCTATCACTGACCAAGTTTTCCCAGATCTGTTCTCCCAACTAAGATCTGCCATTTTTATATTTTTGAAGTAGAAAAATCATTATTTTTCAAAATGTGTTCAAACATAAAAATCTGAAGAAATCTCTCAAGACAAATGAAATAATCATTTGATGATGCATGAATGAGACTCAAATCATACAATCTTATTAGCATTCAAGGATTTTTATGATGTAGATCCAAAACAATTTTTTAGTCTTACTCCTTTGGCCTTTTAATAATTAGCTACCATAGTCTACATGATATTTCTCAAACACAAAGACAAAACTCACACTTATTTATCAAGTACATGTATGAGTATGTTCAAATGCTACCATATAATGCATAACTTAAAAAGTACCAAACCAAATATATCTAATGTTTCCTTAACACATTAAGCACCAAGCCTGTTTTGTCTTCCTTTCGGTTTAGTGCGTGATATCCCATTTCACCGATATGCTCGTGGCCGGAGACTAACGAGGTCCAAACAGAAAGTATAATGTCAGTCACCGGTGACTGACATGGTGCTTAACGTGTTAATAATTCATGAAGATTATTATCTGAATGCCAATATAATACCAATACTTTCTGCATATCATGCCACCCCCCAATAATTAATTCCTATTATCAGCTGGATGTAGAAGAGGGCATAGAGGAGATAAAAGGTGATGGAAAAAATAGAACAAAATAAAATTAAAAATAAAAGCCACCCATAACCTATCCCTACCCATACCAACTTTCAATTTTATTTCTTAGGAAATAAAACTATACTAATGCTGTTCTAAAAGCACAAGAAGAAATCATTATTCCAACCTCCTTATCTTTCATTTATTCACTGATTTCAGAGAGAGGAAGAGAAACATCAATGGCGAGAGATAATCATCGATTGGCAGCCTCCACTGGGGATCCAGTCTGCAGCCCAGGCATGTACCCTGACTGGGAATTGAACAATGACCTCCTGGTTCATGGTTTGACGCTCAACACTGAGCAACAATGGCCGGCCAACCCCCTTAACTATTAGAACTATATCACCATGATTCCTAATCAATAATATAAATCTTAACACTCCAACATTAACTCCCAAGCAATCTGTATTGTTAATTCATTATATATACTGATTATAGCCTATTTTGTATTAGTTGATTTGCTTAAAATTCATTGTACAATATTTAAGGCTAGAAATCATTTTTTAAATTTTACTGTAACCCCCTAAAGTGCAAACCCAAGTGGCAAGTATGCCATAGGGAAATAATGAAGAAACATGTAACTGCTATTTAAGCATCATTTCATCATTAGGTAAGTCAGTAAATCCTTTTATTTGGCATACAAATTAAAACAAAAAGAAAACTGACGTGTTTCAAGAAAAACCTTAGTCCAGAAAATATTGGACATGTCCCAATATGCCCTAAATATATGTAAGCTGATTCTTTGAAATCTATAGAAATGTCACCTTACTAGTCTACCTCAATTTGCAGGAAAGCATTTTTCATTTTGTTTTTTTCGCAGAAGGAAGAGACTTTGTTTGAAAATGTTTATGTTGTTCGTTACTACAAAATAGAAAAAAACAAAATGATTCTCACTAGGTGCTTTTTATCAAGATAGACAAAACACTTTTAACATACCTGTCATAATAATCCCGTTGAAAGTCATAGTCCAAATCAAAAGAGGAGCTGAAAAATAAACACCAAAGAGCATTAATTTGAAGCCATTGATGTCAATTCACAACAGCAGATAGGGGAAAAAACCCCAAAGCCCATGCCAAACCAACCACAACAAATAGATCAACAGATTCGCATGGAACAACTCCCAATCATCATTCAATTAACATCACTAAATTCTAAGCACCTTAGGCCACTGAACATGCAGTGGACAAATTCAAATTCAGGTGAAAGTTTTGCTAAAATTTCAACATACTACATAATAGCCAAAATAAGAACACTGAAAATTACAATAGTAAACTAAACATTCTTAGGCCATCTTCCCTTTCTTACTCCTCAGCTCCTGAGAAGCTCAACTCCTCTTGAAGAATTTTATAATTTATGCTAAATACCAAAGTACTCTTTAATAGCCAAAATCTCAGGGTATTCTAATAATTTTCTGGGAAATGGGTGAAAAGGAAGTATATTACCAAAAAATTAATAAAGCATTACTTAGACACAGATAAAACATACTACAGTTAGCCCTCCCATATCCAGCAAAACAGATAGAGAATATGCCCACTGATGGACACAATGGAGTTATAAATAATAAAGTTCCGGACCTGAGTAGAGGGGACGGAGAAGGGTGTTCTGGTACTGACCCGTACATCTCCGCTGCAGATCGTTTCACACCTGCTTTTCCTCGGTTCACTTTTGGCTCTGCAGCCAGATTAATATCTGAAAAAACAAAAACAAAAATTTTAGTGACAACACTGTTGGGATTTAAAAAATGTCCGTAAGTAATATAAATCCACAAAGATCTAACACTGTAACTCATCTTTCCTTGTGATATAAACACTCAAGAATTTTTATAAGGCTGGAACGTTTAATCTTCCATTCCTTCTGTATCAAAAAAGTTTTCATTATTTATAACACATTAAGTTTGTCTTTGGTACCTTCCACACTCAGCTTCTACTCCAATGAAACGCTTACCACTCAGAACACCCATTTTTTTCACTTAGTATCACAGGAAAAAAGTATCAATGACTAATAGTTGCCTTTCCAGAAATGATTCTGTGCATTTTAAATTAAACAAATATATTAGAAATAAATGACCTCAGAGATTTTGTATGGCAGTTCATGAATTAATATATTTGAAATATGGTACCCTTAAATTTCCCCAAATGCAAATGTTTATTCTACTTACAAGTAGAACCAACTCTAAAGTTGCATAAAAAAATGCTTAAGTACTCTGCAGAAGTGCTTAACAACATTTACATGCACATAAACATACACTAAGAAAAGGGAAATAAAGGAGCAAAGGGAAAAAAACCCCATATATATATATATTATGCAGTGTCCTGTCTGGGAGTTCGATTGCTCGCTATAATGTGCAATAACAACCAGGGGGCCGTACAGCACGAAGGAAGGCCCTGCAGGCAGCCACTAGGGACCCTACCTGTGCACGAATTTCATGCACTGAGCCTCTAGTTTCCATATAAAATGTAAATATTTAAAACACCCATTCTAGCAGCCAACTACTTACCCTGTCCATCCACTGCCTACCAAACAAGAGTTCATGTGCTCCTCATTAACAAGAGGCCACTGTAGCTCTTTTAAAACTCAGGTCATCAAATAACCAATTAAAAAACAGACATTTAGTACATTTTCTTTTTGCTAAATAGACAATTCATGAATAATCTTCAGTTTTTGGTCCACTAAATTCATTTCTAATTTTTAATATCTAATGTTTATAAAAGCCTTGCCCTTTTATAGTTTTGACTATAGACATTTATAACATTAAAGATTAAATTTGTAAAAAATGTATATTCTATTGATTTTGAGTGACAGGAAGGGAGAGTAGGAGAAACATATGAGAGAAACATGTATGAGAGAGAAACATCAATGACAAAGAAACATGGATTGGCCGCCCCCTTCATGGCCCCTATTGAGGATTGAGCCCGTAACTCAGGCATGTCCACTGACCTGAAATCCAACGAGGGACCTTTTGGTTCATTGGATAATGCTCAACTAACGGAGCCACACTGGCCAGGGCAAGATAGAATTACATTCTTTAAAAAGCAATTATGCCCTAGCCATTTTGGCTCAGTGAATTGAGTGTCAGCACGTGGACTATAGGGTCCCAGGTTCGATCTTCTGGTCAAGGGCAAGGGCACATACCTGGATTGCAGGCTTGATCCCCAGAAGGGGGTGTGCAGAAGGCAGCCAATCAATGATTCGCATCGATAGATGTTTCTATTTCTCTCCCTTTCGCCCCGAAATCAATAAAAATATTTTTAAAAGCAATTTTTAAATGTAAAAAAATGAAATGAAAGAACTAAACTTTATCAAAGTTGATTATACAACTTTGTAGATTTCATGTGATTCCAAACTATAGTACTGAATCAATAGTCAATAGACTATATATTAATAAAATTGCATTTCATAATATTAATTTTAGTAAAAATACAAGTATGATTATTTTAAAACTGTAGCACAAAGTACACATAAAATTGTATTTTTTCTATTCTTAAAAAGCGTAAGTTCCTCCTTATCTACCCACTGAATCTAGTCAGAAACAATTAAAATTCAAACACTAACTCCTGATATACAGACAGTGGTTTCTAAATAATTCTCATTAAAAGGAGCCAAGGCTCCTGGGCAAAGGGGCAAATTCCAAGTTTATGTCAAGCTATATACCAGATGGCCTGGAATGTCTTCTGGTGCCAGAAAATGAGGCAACAATACATTATTCCATTAGGAAGGTCACAATGACATAGGGACCAACTTGAAGGTGATCCACTAGGCTAAAAGAAATTATTTTGAGTTCTAAAGAATGATTTGTGGCTCTAACCAGCTAGCTCAGTTGGTTAGAGTGCGTCCCAATAAGCCAAGTTTGTGGATTCGACTCTCGGTCAAAGCACATACAAGAACCAACAAAGCAATGTTTCTCTCTCTTTCTCTTTTCTCTCCCTTCCTCTAAAAATCAGTTTAAAAAATTGCAATGGACTAAAAACACACCTATTTATATATATGAATTCAAAATAATAGTAAACAAAAGCAATGGCTATATTTATAGGTTGCTAGAGGATCAATTACACCAAAATTTGAAAAGATTTATTCGGCCTTCCCAATGTGAACAGTATTTCAGAAAAATCAAATATTACCAAGTTGTTGTTTAGAAAAATTCCAGTTAATAAGTACAGAAGGAATTAGAAAACCCACTCTTTTGAACCCCTAATAAATTACTTAAAAATATCATCACCATAAGGTGAAAAACCGATGGGGAACTTTAGGTCAGGATGTAAAACTTGAACCCACAAATTTTTTTAATATCACCAAAAATGGACAACTGTGGTAGGCCATCAGATGTGATAGACTATAACGCAACCAATGAATGTATAAATAAATGAAACAACAAAATCGATTATTTCTCTCTCTCCTCTAAAATCAATACAACTCAAATTTTTAAAAAGAAATGTATTATGTCTGAATTCAGATGTTTTATAAGTATGCACACACAAGGGATTTCAAAGACTTGGGATGAAAAGAGAATATAAAATATCCCAAATCATATTTTTAAATAATTACATATCAAAATGACAATATTTTGGGTATAATGAGTTAAGTAAAATTAAAGTCACCCTTTTGTTACTTCTTTTTATACAGTTATTTACAAATTTTAAAGTCACATATATGGCTTACATTCTATTTCTATTGAACTAGCACTACTCCAGATCAGAGGAGTAGAAAAAAATTAACGATAAGGAAACAATCAGTTCAGAGTGTAGGAAAATACTAAAGGCTTCAACAAATTGAACGTCATAAAATTTTTAAATGTGAAAGGTACAGAAGAATTAACACGTTTAAAGCGTCTCTAGCTAACATGCTGGAGTTCTACGCTTTAATGAATTATCTCAATTAATCAATTTATCTAAATCCTCTTGACATCCTCAAATACTAATACCTCAGGTAAGAATAAGTAATAAACCGAAATACCATTATCTCCATTTGAAGAGATGAGAAAATTTAGGGCTCAGCCAAGCTAAGTAAGCTGCCTAACACTATGTAAAGCCCCAATGCAGAGCCAAGTAATCTGATTCTGCAGCCCATGAGTGACTAAGATGTATTGCAGGGGTCCTCAAACTACGGCCCGCGGGCCACATGCAAATACAAATATTGTATTTTTGTTCCCGTTTTGTTTTTTTACTTCAAAATAAGGTATGTGCAGTGTGCATAGGAATTTTGTTCAGTTTTTTTTAAAAACTATAGTCCGGCCCTCCAAAGGTCTGAGGGACAGTGAACTGGCCCCGTTTAAAAAGTTTGAGGACCCCTGCTATATTGTATTCCACCAGTCCACTGTGAGCAATACCCACAGCCATTTATTGCCTTATGAAATATCATTCCTACCTCCTGTACCTTACCCAAGACTACCAAGTGAGGGTTATCTAGTCTCAACTACTAATGGCATAATAAAAGTCTGTATTTAGCCTAATATATCTATAAACCTAAGATTTTTATTATGCTGATGAAGTCAATTATCAAACCCAGAAAATCTCAGACTATTAAAATGATAAAGAAAAAAAACAAAAAAAAACACTAACAGAAAAATTCTCATATCTGAATTACATAAACAATGAAAAAATTCATTCAACTCATCTTACCTAAAACCTGGCCAGCGATCATTCTGCCATCTTCTCCTGCCACCGCAGCCCGGGCATTTCTCTCATTAACATATTGAACAAAGGCAAAGCCCTTATGAACAGAGCAACCCACAATTTTGCCATACTTTGAGAATATAGCCTCCACATCAGATTTCTTCACCACAAGAGTATTGAGATTCCCAATGAATACACGGGAGTTCATGGAGCGAGGATCCGTCTTGTTGGTAACATTGCTGGCCATTTTCTTTGTTGATTAAGGTTCCTCACAAAGCCAAAACTAGAAGGAAAAAAAAAATGCATTCAGGTGAAAAGATGCTAAAAACTAAGTATTCCTTGATAAAACTTCATCTACTCTTATTTTAAACCACTGTGACTACCTAAAGTACCAGCCAACCTCCACGGATCTCAAAACAGCAAGTCTATTACTCTTCAGAGATTAGCGGCCAAGAATATATCCTTATAAAAACTCAACTTCCCCTTCTCTAGTGTATTCCATATTATTTTTTCCCCTCCACAGACAATTGGCAACACAATCTTCCTGAACATTTAACTCCAAGTGAACCCTGTTATAAAGTTCTCATGCAAATTAGAACCCCCTAAATTATCTACTACAAATTTCAACTCATTTTTCACCTTCTCAGTGATGCTAACCTAGCCATTGCTTGCCATCTACCATATTCTTGCACATTGCTTTTATTAAAACGAGTCACTCACTCTCCCAAAGATATAAAAAAGCCCTCGAGCCCTATATAGTATGGCTCAAGTGGATGGAGTGTCAGCCTGCGGACTAAAGGGTCCCAGGTTTGACTCCAGTCAAGGGCACATGCCCAGGATATAGGCTTGATGCCCAGTAGGGGTTGTGCAGGAGTCAGCCGATCAATGATTCTCATCACTGATATTTCTATTTCTCTCCCTCTCCCTTCCTCTCTGAAATCAATAAAAAAATATATATTTTTTAAAAATACAAAATAGGGCCATAGCTGATTTGGCTCAGTGAATAGAGCATCAGCCTACAGAGGAAAGGGTCCCAGGTTCAATTCCAGTCAAGGGCACATGCCCGGGTTGCAGGCTCAATCCCCAGTAGGGGTTGTACAGGAGCCAGCCGTTCAATGATTTTCATCACTGATGTTTCTCTCTCCCCTCACCCTTCCTCTCTGAAAGCAATAAAATTTTATTTAAAAAAAAAAAAGAAGAAAATAGGGATTTGCTTGGGAGGACCCTTGAAATTCTGCCAATAAACCACTCTTTAGCTAGATTAATGTGGACAATTGACAACCTGCCCTTCAAGTATAATTAACCTCATTATACAAAGGCAATAAACACAAACAATTCATTCACTCTGGAAATACCTATTTCTAGGTACCTCAATTGACTTTCAATATGCCAGATACCTTAAGTATCTTTTTATAGAATCCGATGGCTCTTTTACTTACTTATGTGGTAACCTACAAAATATAGTTGGGACATTTAATACTACTAGATGGTGATGATAAACTAGGTGAAATCAAAAGACGACAACAGGAACTAAGGCTTCCACAGACTATTTCAAAACTATCTTTATGCCGAAACCGGTTTGGCTCAGTGGATAGAGCGTCGGCTAGCGGACTGAAGGGCCCCAGGTTCGATTCCGGTCAAGGGCATGTAGCTGGGCTGCAGGCACATCCCCAGTAGGAGATGTGCAGGAGGCGGCTGATCGATGTTTCTCTCTCATTGACGTTTCTAACTATCTCTCTCCCTTCCTCTCTGTAAAAAAAATCAATAAAATATATTTTAAAAAAAACGAAACTATCTTTATGTATGTTAGATTCAATCTTAATGTTTGGCATCTTTTAGCTTTTGTATCTGTTTGCTGCCAGTTGCCATTCCAACCACCAGTTATGATGGACCCACTTTCACTTTAGAGCAGTGGTTCTCAACCTTCCTAATGCCGCAACCCTTTAATACAGTTCCTCATGTTGTGGTGATCCCCAATTTCATTGTTACAAATTGAACATAATTAAAGCATAGTGATTAATCACAAAAACAATATGTAATTATATATGTGGTTTCCGATGGTCTTAGGCGACCGACCCCTGTGAAAGGGTCGTTCGACCCCCAAAGGGGTCCCGACCCACAGGTTGAGAACCACTGATTTAGAGTAACACTGTAAAGATTAAAGATACCAGTGTCTAATGATATTTTTCCAATACTCAAGAAAAGCATGAAAAACTAATTCTCATGGATTTTTGTTAAAATGTCTTATATACACACATTTAATAAAACAGGTAATATAGAACATTTATACATGACCACCACAATTTTGACCCATAAAATACCTAGTCATTTCAAAAGCAGTACTGATTTTAAAGTTGTAACAACTGCCCTAGCCGATTTGACTCAATGGACAGAGCATTGGTCTGCGGACTGAAAGGTCCTGGTTTCAATTCTGGTCAAGGGCACATGCCCGGGTTGCAAGCTCGATCCCCAGCGCGTGGACATGCAGAAGGCAGCCGATCAACGCTTCTTTCTCATCATTAATGTTTCTCTCTCTCTCCAACTCCCTTCCTCTCTGAAACCAATAAACATATACATACATACATCCTATATCATAAAGAGGTAATACGCAAATTAACCCTCACACCCTCACAAGATGGCTGCCTATGACCAGGCTGGCAGGGGGGCTTAGTGAGGGACAACCAAACAACTGAACAACAGGCTGTGTGGGTGAACAACAGGTTGTGTGGCCAGTGGGGGGGTGGGGGAGGGCAGTAAGAGGCAACCAGGCCAGTGAGGGGCAGGGGGCAGTTAGGAACAACCCGGCTGGCGAGGGTGGGGGTGGGGTAGGGTGAGGGGACAGTTGGGGGTGACGAGGCCAGCAGGGTGGGGGCAGTTTGGAGCAGCCAGGAGAGGGGGCAATTAGGGGCAACCAGGCAGGCAGGTGAGCGATTAGGAGCCAGCAGTCCAGGATTCTGAGAGGGATGTCCGACTGCCAATCAGGCCTAAACCAGCAGTGGGACATCCCCCAAGGGGTCCCAGACTGGAGAGGATGCAGGCTGGGCTGAGGGAGCCCGCCCCCCATGCACGAATTTCACGCACCATGCCTTTAGTGTGTGTGTGTGTGTGTGTGTGTGTGTGTGTGTGTGTGTATATATATATATATATATAAAAGGGTGTAACAACTGCTTTTCCCTTCTAGCATTTCTGAAATTCAGGACACAATCTATTTTATTTTGGCTTATAAATTATATACTTATTTAAACAGTAGTTCTTAACCATTTTTTTCCTAGACTAAACAATGGAAATTTACCTAACAATAGCCACTGAGAATCACCCATAGCCTTTCAAATGTAAGTGTGAAGGCCAGAAATCTTTAGAACAACAATAAGAATAAACATAAACCCAGCCCTGACCAGTTTGGCTCACTCAGTGTTCAGCTTGTGCACCTAAGGGTTGCGAGTTAGATTCCCAGTTAAGGGCACATAACCAAGTTTGCAGATTTGTTCCCTGGTCCGGATGGGAGGCAATTCTCTCTCTCTCTCTCACATCAGTTTTTCTCTCTCTCTACCCGCCCCCTTCCAATGGAAAAAATAATCCTCAGGGGAGGCTTAACAAAAACAAAGCCAAAAAACCTACTAAAGAGAAAAGGATGTGTCTACATGCCAGCAGCATACTGAACATGAGCTGAACACACCAAAAAGACATTAGATTTATGTCCCTTTTACATATACTCCTTTGAACCACAGAACAGAAATGGATTTAAATGACTATTTCCTCAATTTTTACAAGGATGCTACATATAGAACAGAATGCATCACATATAAAAAATGAGTTAGGGCAATGATTTTTCAACATATTTCATCTCATGGCACACATAATTACTAAAATTCTGCAGCACATCAAAAAATACAAAAAAAAATATGTTTAATTTTGATTCAGTTGCATTGGATGGCTGTTACCGTATTTTTTACTTGGGAGCCTCAGGAAAAAAGTCAGTAACCCTGACTAATTAGTCAGGTATTACATGTTTTAAAAATTCTTGTGACACACCAGTGTCCTGTGGCAAGTGGCTGCCTTATGGTTTAATTCTCTCAATGAATCCTATTTGAATAGACTGGTAGAAAGACATCCAAGAATATAAATAAAAAAGGTACTAACAGTGACTATCATCTCTGAATTTTAGGACAGGATTTTATTTCCCATTTTCCTTGATATAAAAATGTTAATGAAAAAATAATACAATGATTTCAGTTTCAAAGCTGTGCTAAGGTCACCTGATTAGCTTTCAATGTCCATACTTAACTATAAGGATTTAATCAAGATGTAACAGAAAAGACAGAAAACCCACAAAGACCCATTAATCCCACTCCTAGGAACACATCCTTTTAAAGAATTAAAGAGTTATTACAAATTACTTTTTAATTGTATTTGCTAAGTACCAAGTACCAGGGCTACTTCAGGGGAGAAATGGGAACCAAAAATTCTAGTGGTACTGCTACTGAAAATTTTCTGAAGAGGGAACAGATTTTCTAAAGTTTTAGAAAGAACCAAATGATCTCAGGTCACACTTCACACTGACTGCTGAGGGGAGAAAAATGGTCACAATCCTAAATGCACAGACACTACTGGAAATGAACTGGGATTCCTGGAAGAAAGCAGCAACAACACAGAATAGTTCTGGAATTGTTCTGAATCCTTACATAAAAGCAATCATATAGTAAAGCCAAAAAACCACAGACAAAACTTGGTGTCATGGTATCCCCCCAATCAAAATACAAGCTGGCAAGGGCAAGCCAAAATGCATGGTATCACTAACTGGGGAAGTAGCAACTGGGAGTTACAAGACGTAGGAATTAAAGAATCCCAAAATATCCAGCTAGTATTACTAGAAATAACTAATTTTAAGAAAGGCAGCTGAAATGGGAGTTTTTTGCCTGCTCCAATAGTGAATAAAAAGATTTGATGGGCCTGGCTGGTGTTGCTCAATGGTTGAGCATAGACTGATGAACCAAGAGGTCACCGGTTCCATTCCCAATCAGGGCACATGCCCAGGTTGCAGGGTCAATCCCTGGGTAGGGCAGAAGATAGATTTCTCTCATATAAATGCTTCTCTCTCCCTCGCTTTCTCTCTGAAAGCAAAAAAACCCCAAAAACTTTTTTTTAAAGGTTTGATAGTGCTAGAGCAGCTTAGTCTCTACAAAATCTCAAAACTGACACAAAAGTCCCATGTACATCATTTCCATCTCTTCCCCCCAAAAAGTTTCTGCTCTGGTTATTACTTCCTTTTTAAGTAATTCTATG